TGTGTGGTGGTGGTGTGGGGGGGCCGGGAGCTCAGTCTTTGAACCCCTGAATACTGCAAAGGATGCGCTTCTGGTGACCTGGCAGCGTGATGCCCATCTGTGTCAGGTCCCTGTGGCGACAGGGGACATGGGTGAGGGTGCAGGCTAAGGGCAGGCTCCACCCCCCATTTACCTGTCCACCTCGGTCCTGCCCTGCCCTTCACTCACTCAGCCGACAGCTCCAGCACACACTCCATGGTGTCCAGGCCGGCTGAGCGGAAGTGCAGGATGTAGCGCTTCATGCGGATGGATTCCAGCCACTCCGCTACGCTGCGGTATGGGATTCCATCCGAGCCGCTCAGGCTGGGCAGGCGGAGGGTCACCCTGAGGGGTGCGGAGCTGAGTCACGAGGCTGCTAAGGGTGGGTGAGGGTGGTGGCTATGTGCTGGGCTGGGTTCCCTTGAGGGGTGGGTGGGCGCCTGACTATCATGGGGGAGAGGGTATGCAAGCCCAATTTGTCAAAAACCAGACAGCCTTCAGAGTTCATTGCACCCCACTCAAATGGGGTATCTGACACCCAGCTCCTCAAGGGTGTGGGGGCCTCCTCGCTAGCACCTGCCAGCCTACTTCCCCACCAGGCTGAGCACAGTAGGAGGTGGCCAGTGAGTATAGTGGCCTTCTGGCCCTCACACCCTGGCCACCCGCCCTTTTCCCTCAAGGGGCCACTTGTGCAGACAGCCAGGCACTGAGGCCCAGCTGGGGATTGAGGGCACATAGCCCAGGCCTGGGGTGGCCATGGAGTGCTGACCACCTCCTGCTACTCACGACCGGACACCATAGTATAAATAGTGTCCCTGTGTCCGAGGCAGCCGGAGCCAAAGTGTTTAGCAGAGCAAAGCTGCTGCCGGGGAGCGACATCCCACCTTCTAGAGAGATGGGCACAGGCTACACCGGGGCTTCCGGGTCAGAGCCTCCCCCGCCCCCCCTAAGCCCTTCTGCACTGTCTAGTGAAACACGGTTCCAAACAGGTCCCTATACAAGCAGCTGGAACAAGGTCACTCGTTGCTCTTTGCACCCAGACTCGAGACCAAATGCCTATGGGGAGCCCTGACTACTGCCCCAGGGTTCTGCCTACCCTCAGTCTCGTCTCCCCAACCCTGAAGGCTGCCACTGCTCCTGACACAGCATGCTTCACTGTCTTGCATTTGCCAGTACACTTGCCGTCCACCCAACCCCCAGGTTTGACTGACCACCTGCCATGGTAGACGAAGGCCAGGCATGGCTGTCACCGCTGCTGGTTGGTCAGCTTGGACCCAGAGACCCATGTCAGTCAGAGGAGCACCCCTGATGGGAAGTAAGCTCACACCCCTCCACCCCCTTCTGGCCTCTCCTCGGGAGAAAGATGAGCTGTCTGAGGCGGTCCAGCCTTGTAGCCCTGTTGACCCAATGGGGCAGCTCTGCTCTGTCCTACAGGATGGCTGCCTGTGGAATCCACGTGGGCTTTTTTAAGATTCATGGACACAAAGACAGGCCTTTCTCTTCAGTTGCTGCTGTGTGGTTCGAACCTGCAAGCTTTCAGTTAGCGAAAGCCATGTGTGCACATCTGGGGCCCTGTCAGCATGCAGCAAAGCAGACCTAGTGCCAGTGAGGCCCCTCTTACTCACGGGCACGCTGCAGGCGAGGGCAGGGCTGCCCGTGGGTGTCCGAGGCCGTAACTCTGTATGGGAGTGGACAGGCAGCTTCGCCCTGCTCACGTGGAGCAGCTGCTGGGTTTGACAGCGGTCTGATGCTGAACCGAGTGCCACCAAGGCTCCTTAATTGGGGCTGCGCCAGCCATCCAATTGATTCTGTGCTTTGGACAACCTCACTTCCAAGACT